GAAAGCCACTGGGCAGTGCCACTCTATAGGGACAACCAGACAACAGAGGGACGCACAGCCTGGCTCCTCGGTGCTCTGGATGTGCCCCAGCGGAGAGGCGCTCTCGGGGGGGACGGATGTGTCCTCAGTTCTTGGTGGCTTTTTCAGTGAAAGAGCATGAAGTGATTCTGGAAACACTGACCCTGCCACTCGGAGTGTGGTCCAGGGGCCAGAGCGGCGGGAGCATCTGCGTCCTGGCCTGGAGCTCCGGGATCAGGTCCTGCACTTTCCCGAGGTCCCAGGTAATCTCCCACTCCACCTGGTCAACAGTTTCACTTTTAACTATGCAAACGGACGCAGGGTGGGGGCCATGCCCCAGTCTTCTCTGTAAAGGCTGGTAGGTGGGACAGATTCCTGGAGCTGATTGTGGAGCAGGTTAGGATCTGCTTCACGTAGCATTTCCCTCGATCCCGAGCGTGCGCCACACTGGGAACTATTAGAACCAGAAGAACAAGCCCAACTGTCTTCTGCTGGCAGGGGCGGGAGACCTTGAGGAGCGCGGTTTCCCGACTGAGTTCCACCCGGGTGCGTGGCCAACACTTGCTTCCTAGCAAGCCTGCTCCTAATTAATTGTGTCAAGTCCCCGTATGCCCAGGGGGATGCGGGAAACCTTTACTTCATATGGCTCAGAGCAGAGCAGTTGACTCGCAAGTGCTTTACCTCTCTAATTAATTATACTCACCACACAGAGTCTGAATAACACTTCTACCTCCAGCACTCAAAATACGCCTTTTCTAAACTAATTCCACAAAAGTTGAGCCACCCCCTCCAAGGACGATTATATGTTTAAAATTAGAAACAACTGCTACTCTAATAGTGCTTTTTTTTTACCCTCACTGGAGGATATTTTTCCATTGCTTTTAGATAGAGTGGGAGGGGGGGAGAGAGAAACCCATCCATTGACTGACTGCCTCCCGCACGCGCCCTGGGGGCCGGGGCCCAAGCCTGCAACCCAGGTACGTGCCCTTGATGAGGAATCGAGTGCCCTTGGCCAGGAACCAAGCCCACGACCCTTTTGCGCCCTGGGCCGACGCTCTAACCACTGGGCCAATCTGCCCGGCTCTATCGGTGGTTCTGATGCTCTAAATAGCTCTTTTGTTTTTTCCTGGATGTGGACCCGTGGTTTAAGAGGGGAGCTGTAATTTTACCGCATTTTTAAAAATCATAGTTAACCATCCATCACCAGTCACACTCGGCTTCGTCTGGAATGGAGGTTTCCCTTTGAATGCATTTGCAAAACGAGAAAAGAAAAAAAACACCATTTTACAGCGCTACGTGGGAAACGCTGCAGACCTGAGCGGAACTCACTGGTTTCCTTCAGCATTTTGATCAGATGCGTCCATGAGTTCAGATGAATGAAAGTGAAAATGAAAGTCAGCGGGCACCCTGAAAGCAACCGGGAGCACGGGCCGCCCGGTCGGAGCCCACGGGAACAGCTTCATCCCCGGGGACTGGGCGACAGCCGGCGCCGGACTCAAGGGGCGGCTCCCGGGGGCTCCATCGCTCAGCTCCTCGGACAGAGGAAGATGGTTTTCTACAATGGGTTTGTGTGTTTTTAAAACTGTAGCTTGGCACAGACTTCAGTAAACGACAGTAAGTTAATCTCCACACACAGGGAGGCGCACTATACCACTTTCTAAACGATAAAAACGGGGCCTTAGTCCCCGCAGCACTCACGCTGCACTGATAAGTGGGCCTGAGTGGGGGGAGCGGTGGGTAAGACCCAAGTGACATATTTTTAAAGCAGCCTGGTCAGCGACGGACTCGTGGAAGAGGGTGGAGTCGGGAGACACCCCTGACCTTGCGTGGAGGGAGCCCTGCATAGTTTCGGCTCTGTCTTCCCTCCTGGAGCCCGGGAGGGTGCACAGAAATGTGTGTGTAAATGACGTTTTAAGAGAAATATTTTGTTCATTTGTACAGCAGAGAGGCTAACAGTGACCTTACCCCCCTCATGGCTGGGGGTGCGGGGGGCTCCATGTCCGGGGGAGTCACTCATTTGTGAGGGCTGGGAAGGCTGTGACGTGGGACGCTTAGTGTCAGCGTGTCCGGCCAGGGCGCCCGCACCGCGGACGGGGCGTCCGAACCGCTGGTCGCCGCCCGGCCGCTCAGGTCCCAGGGATGATCCTCGTCTCCGAGGCACGGGAAGCCCGTCTCTCTCAGACACAAGAGTGTTCCACTAATTGCAATTAAATGTTGGCTGTGCTTCTGTTTTCAAGGAACATCAGGTGAAATACGGCTCGAGAGCTGAAGCTGAGCCTGTGAGCGAGCCGGGCAGCTCTTTCCTCGTCAGCTGTCCTCGGGGCGCCTCTAGGGACAGCGCCCGGAGAGGGAGACGCCATGCGCCCACCCCCCGAGTGTAAAGTCTGCCTGAGATACGCTGCTTACCGCCCCCCTCGCGAGCAGCAGCTGCAATAGGTTTACATTGCAAAATGGAATGTTAAATCGTATGATACTTTGTGTTTTCCAATATCTTTTCATTGTATTTCTCAAAACGTGGTTTGGACGTCTTTCTCTTTTCTTTTTTTTTTAGAATTCTTTTTAAAATTTTATTTGTATTTCTAAAATTCTTTTACATTCACTATTATTTTTGTATCAGTTCCAGGTGTGCAGCGTAGCCGTTAGACAACCGTCTACTTCATAACATGCTCCCCCGGATATTCCCAGGACCCACCTGGCGCCACGCGGTCGTCACAGTGTTACTGACCGTGTCCCCAAGGCTGCACTTCATGTCCCCGCGACTCTTTGGTAACTGCCAGTCTGTGCTTCTCAACCCCTCCACCTTCTTCACTCAGTCCCCCATCTTCCCTCCCGACAGGCACGAACGGCCCTACAGGGTATCATGCTAAGTGAAAAAAGCCAGTCAGAGGGGCACAGATACCACATGATCTCACTCATACGCGGAATCTAAAAACCAACATAAACGAACAAAGAAAACAGAAACAGACTCATAGACACAGTGAACTTCTTCTCCCCCGGAGTACCTGGAAGTGCTAGAAAAACAGCAGACACATAATAAATTCTCTCAGGGGACGGGTTTAGCTGATTAAGAGAAACAAGCTAATCATCTGGTAACATGCTCCCACATATTCTATTTAACGTGCTGGAATCTTCTCTTTGAGGATGGTAACAAACGTTTGCAGAAGTGGGGTTTTTGTAACTATACGGTTAATCAGTTACTTAATGGAAACCCTTTCTCTAATTCAAAATTATCTTCTGAATTAGAACTGATAAGTGTGGAATATTTTACCTTTACGTATTGATGACTAATTATAAACAAACTGATTTCCATTAGACAACATGAGAGCCTGCCTGTTTTATTTTTTAAATAATAATAATTATTGGCTATAATAATATTTATTATTATTTATTGACTTCAGAGGGAGAGGAAGGGGGAGAGAGAGAAACATTGGTGGGTTCCCTGCAGCATGCACCCCCACTGGGGATCGAACCTGCAGCCTGGGCACCTGCCCTGACTGGGAACTGAACTGGGACCTTTGTGCGCACAGGACGTGGCTCCAACCAACAGTGCCGGCCTGCCCAGGGCTGAGAGTGAAACTCTGGTCCATCTCTCAAAATTTCTGTTTAAAAATGCATATTTTTAAATTATTTTCTGTCAATATTTTTTTCTCAAACAGTTGAAATGAAATATCTTGTTCCATAGTCCTACCACGCCAGGCTAGACAAATGAAGCTTGTTGCTTAATAAATGCTCGATTAAGACCCTTTGACTGGTCTCCATTTTAAAGGCAGCTCTTTCATTTCTCCATGGAAGAGAGGAAACGGTACCGCCTCCATCTCTCTTTCGTATCAGGAGCACTGCCTTGTTTAATTGCCGGCGGCCTCGATTTACTAAGCGGCAAACAGTTAATGCGAATCATCGAGTTCCTTAGGACGCCTCTTTGAGTGGACGCAACAGTTTATTGCATCGAGTGGGTCTGATTCTCCCTTGATTTACGGATGTGGCGATAATAGCCCATCTCACAGGATGCTTTGCTAGGAGGGATCCAGATGCAGGCACTGAAATCTTTATGGCCTCCCCAGGAGAGCCGGGACGCAGGTGGCATCCTCATTACCACAGCCGAGCAAATGGAGGGGCTTGCCTGAGGTGTCCTGGCAAGTGAGTTACTCAGGGAACAGATCTAGGTCTCCCGATGCCTCGCACACTATCACAGGCGCAGAGAACTCCCGGGGGACAGCCAAGAGGAGGGGAAATGACATCCAGGATGCTCACTGCAGAACCCCCGTAGCAAAAGGTCACCGTTTCCCTCCAATGGCACGCGGGGCACACCGAAGGGTATCAAACGACATAAAATCCGAACGGTGCCCTAATTAGGTGGGATCGTCACTCTAGCTCCCGGCCTCCCGCAGTCCAAGCCAGCAGCCCCCAGTTCCTCTCCCCTGCGCTGAATCCAAAGCCAGACATAGTGACAGAAACCATGTTTGGCTCACAAGGGACTCTCTCGAGCCCTGACGATGATGGAACTCGATGGCAATCATGTCAAGCTTCCTAGGATCATAATCCAAGTTTACAACGATACACGAAACCATAACACTACTGTTCACATGGGCATCAACCCCGTTTATGGTGCCATCAATAGTCCTGCTAATGGCATTAACAGCACCACCCGGTGGAATCTCGGCTGTCGAGTGGCGCTTTTATGCTATTAGAGCGTCACTATTTATATATCACCATAACCTGGGTAGTCAGAGCTGTTACATATGAATACACGAGGAAGATTGAGAGCCACACTTTATGCCCAGATCTAGGCTTCTTGGACTGAAAACTTTACAGCCGCCGTCCTATCTAGCTCTCCCCTGGGCTGTCTGCGTGGCAGGGTGTTGCTTTAGGGCTTAGAGAAGAGCAGTCCGTTTTCGGGCCCTCCCCTCCCCGCCCCGATTTGCAGGGAAACACTATATAAAATTGCGAAGAAAGAGAAAGCCCCAGGTGCTGGGCGAACTTACTGTCTCCTTGGCAGCGCAGGGGGCCCACGCTCAGCTTCGCTTCCGAGCCCGGCCGGTCAGTGTCGCCCACCACCACCTGGCTCACCGGCAGGTGGTCTTTGTAGGACAGGAAGCCAGCGTCCTTCCTCCTGGATCACAGGGAGAGAAAGGAGCCCGGAGAGGCTGAGTCAGAAGCATGTCCTTTCCCATCACCGCCTAAGTCGTCTAATAATCGAGCACATTCCCATAAACGTCCAGGAGGCCACTAAGTAGAACCACAGTGAAAGGCGCGTTTTCTCTCCCCCATCGGGGGGTGTCGCAGCCAGTTCTCAGAAGCAACTGCAACATCTTCACTTTCTGGGAAACAGAAGTGACCCCCGATTTCCAGAGTCACAACCAACCAACATGCCGCGTGTTACTTTGGGCTGAGAGGAGGTGCCCGCCCGCCGCTGGAAGCACACACGCCGAACGCGGGGCACACGGGCAGAGTCGGCTGTGGTCACGGAATCGGACGCTCGACAAAGTCACCTCGTCTCTCACGTCACAGAGAAAACAAAGCCCTACTTAACTGCTTTGACACAGCTGCTTCTGAGGCTTCCTGCTCTGCGGTGGATCAGCTAAATAAGGGACATTATTTTGTTCTTTTATCTCTTCCTGTTTATTTATTTAGTTTTTAAAAAATTGATTTTAGAGAGAGAGAGAGAGGAAGGGAGGGAGATGGAGAGAAACATTGATGAGAGAGAAACACTGCTCGGCTGCCTCCCGCACGCCCCCTAGTGGCGACTGAGCCGGCAACCGGGGCCTGTGTCCCGACCAGGAATCGAACTGGCGACCTTCTGGTGCACCGGGCGATGCTCAACCACTGAGCCACACGGCCAGGGCTCTTCCTGTTTATTTCAACAACTGAGAGAGTTCATGGGACGTTTCCTACACTGAGCGGGTGCTCACTAAGTGTCTATTTCCATGTAAAATGAGGAGCGGAGCTTCGACTTGGGTTTCTTCTTTGATTCCTTCTGTTTACTGTAGACTTACCTTGTTCCAGGTCTCCTATCTCCCCCGCACCCACCCTAATTGAGGAAGGGGACAAGGCCAGTTGCAGAGGACTGATTCTGGGATGGAACACAGGCATCCGGGAGATGTTTTTGGGGATGGATGCAAAATGTGTGTAAATTACGTACAGCACAGATTTCATTCACCTCAACAGGGAACCCCTGTACCCTCCCCCTCTTTCATGCTGCTGAGGTTGAGGGATCCCCTCGTTTAAGGCTGGATGGGTGGTAGGCACAAGTCAGTACAAAGTCATTCCAAAATTTCGCATCTGGCTCCTTTCACTCGATCTAGCGTCTCTGAGATTCATCCATGTCATTTATTCAAATAGTATTTTGAATAAAAACTGTGTTATTTTTATAAAAATGTCCTACTCCAGTATAATGGGAATGAACATCCTCCGGCTGTGCTTTGGGTTGGGCCCAGCGTCTGGCTTTGTGAACAGAGCTGTTACGAGCATTCTTACTAACGCGCTGCTTCCAAGGGCTCGTTTACGCTGCGCATTTACCCCAAGGTGGAGGTGCGGGGATGTCACCAGCGTTAGCATATGCTTTCAGCTAGACATAGGTGCAGCTTTAGTAGCTACTCTCCAGCAGTTTTGCCAAGAACTTGTATCAGTTGGCATTTCCACCAGCAGGGGAAGAGAATTCAGATCTTAGTTGATTTATTTACGATAAGTGAGCAAAGAATTACTTTATGTCAAACTTGTGCTAAGTAAAAGCATTCTGAAAGCGAGTGTTTGGAATTATATATTCCAATCATGTCATTTTATTGCCAAAATGGACATGTATACAATTTTATAAGAATCTGCGTATCTACACACTTTCATAACTTAGAAATGTAATTTTTAAATCTTTATAACCACCTTACAGATGTAGAGTTCCAGTGGGTTTTGGACTTGCTGTTAAATAGTGAAATGGGCCACTATTCAGTTATTTTGCAGACCGAACTGATTAACATCAGAGATGACAGAAATGTACAGGGCACAATTTATCAAAACCCTTGCATGCTTGGTCAATGAAACTGAAAAATTAACATCATGATTCATTAGGTGGGCTCAATAATGTACTTCTATTTAGTGTGATATGTGTACCTTTAGTTAACATTTTTGAATGTTAACTCTGAGAGCCAATAAAGTATCAGAATGAACAAAACAGAGCAGCAGATATTCAGATCAGTAATCCAAGCTTACATAAAACAATGTGCACTCGATCACTCTGCAGTGACTAAAAAATTAAAGTAAAATGCGTCATTTCTATGACTATTTTAGAGACAATATTGATTTCAACTTTATTTTATAAGATGTTGTTTTATATTAAACAGAAAATATTACTTCCCTACACCTGATTTATTATTTTTATACTTAATTTGTGTGCGTTGGAAAAAATATTTAAGGCTAGGGTGAGGGTCAGGAAGTATAAAGAACTCTAATTCATAAAAAGCAATGACCAGAGGACACCCGTCGCTGAGAACCTGTGCGCAGGGGGTGTTTCCTGACCATCACATCTGAGCAGGAACCAGGTTGCCCTGCGAGCAGCCGAGTCTGTGTCCTCGGTGAGAAGCATGAGGCTCAGGAAACTTATCCCGACCAAGGTCACCTGCTCCTAGGGGTAGGGTGTGGACTCAGATCTACATTATCTGGATCCCTAATTAAGGACTTCCCACACACACACACAAAAAAAAAAAAAAAAGAAGAAAAAGGGGAAAAAGCAAAACAGGAGAAACCCGAAAATCCACAATGTCAGTCAAAAGCCCCCCTTTGGCTTCCATTTACAGATGAGCTAAAAATACATCTTTTTAGATACACTTCTCCTCCTGAAATGCTGAAGCTGTTTATTTGTAAGTAGCGAGTTGAACGATATCCGCAGGTTTTTACTCACATGCATCCCTTATTTCATAACATACGAAATAAAAAAGGCCTAGGCCGACCTCATCTCCTAATTAACTGCTGATTTTAATAATACGTCAAAGTTTATAGAAGGTCGCAGCAGTTCAGCTCGTGGCTGTGACACTCAGGTATTTCTAACCAAACCAAGAAAACAGAAAAATAATTATCAGCTGAGGAAAAAAGATAAAGCGCCCCCCTCAATCATTTTTGGTGAGAGGCCTACACAGGGCTCGGAGATTTTACAGCCACAAACAGTGTGTGAAACTCACAGAGCGGTGG